GCGCGGCTGCCCGCCCACCCCCAGCGCCAGGGCCACAGGGGACACCTGCTGGTGCCAGCAGTCACAGAGCGCGTGCACGGCTCACCCCGCCATCCCTGTGGCATTACTTCATGCGCTGACCCCCACCTCGCGGCCCAATGACAAGTCTGGCGGCTCCCCAGCCCCGGGTCCCCCGCACGCACCCGCCTCGGCAGGTGACAGGATGGTTTCAGAGCTCACAGCCGGGACAGCCCGAGCCAGCACGTGGACCCGAGCCCGTGGAGATCCCGAGGCCGGCAGCGTGCGCGTCAGGCGAGGGTGGCTCTGTGCTCCGCGGAGGAATCCAGGCCACCCCGTGCACCGCCGAGGAAGCCCTGCTCGGCAGAGGCCCCGCTCCTGCCCCGGGAAAGCTGAATTCCAGGAAAGAACATGTCAGTGGAAAAGCCAGGCCTCTGGAAAATGGGGATCAGGGATGAGGTAAACCGCTCATCTTTCCAAATGAAAGGCAGGCAGACAGAAGGGAGGACCGACCCTCGGGTCTGATGCCATCTTCCTCCCGCGGCCCCCGGAGCTTTGCAGAGAAAGCCCCGCTTTACAGTCTGTTTGGTCTTGTTTCCCCTTGAAACATTCAACAGCTTTAAAATCACATTTGGCTTCCGGCCCAGAGCTCACTGGCTCCCTGTCCCCTGGGGCGGGCCTCCCTCCTGGAGAGGAGGGTCCTCCCTCTGCTGAGCCTCGCCACCCCCGCCCCCGCCCAGGCCCCTCCTTCTGGAATAGAGGCCAGCGGAGCTAGGGCCGGGGGTGCGCTGGGCAGGTGGGGCAGGCCGCAAACCCAGCTGGTGCTGGCTCTTTCTGGAAGGTTCCAGGGTTTCACAGACCCCACAGCTCAGGGGATGCGGACGCCCTCAGGGCCTGTGTGGGGCCAAGGGAACAAGCAACCCGCCGGCATCACCCTGGCCAGGGAAGGTCGTGACCCAGCTTCTGAGGTCCCAGTGTTGCTGGTCGGGTGGACAAAGAGGTGCAGGGGCTGCTGGGGGTGCAGAACCCGCTATGCACCGTGACAGAGTCCTGTCATACTCTCGGCAACGACAGATCTGGGGACCAGCCCGCTCCACTGTAGTTTTGCTGGGTGACCTTCTACAGGTCACTCAGCCTCTCTGGTGCCGGCGTCCCCGGAGTGGCCAGGGCCGACCTGGCTGGCCTCCCACCCGGCTCTGCACTGAAGGAAAACAACCACTTGCACCTCCTGCCAGACGCGCTGGCTCCCCCTGGCACTCTTCGCGTGTGTTTCCAAAAACACAAAGCCCGTTCCTAAGCCCTGGATGAAAACAAGACTCTTCCCTGCACGGGGAGGCCCGCAGCTCGGCTCTCCGGAAGAACAGCTCCCCGACCCTCCCACGCTGGGCCCTCAGCCCGTCCGGCAGCGCCGCCACCTCTGCTGGCTGGCCCCAGGACACAGGCACATCCCCGGGAAGGAGCAGGACACCGGACGCAGAACTTCCCAGGAATACTCCGGTGGACGGTGCCCCCGAGCAGCCCCGCGGGCTCACCCTCCCCCTGAGAACGGGCGCTCCAGAATCTGCTAGGTGGGCGGCCCCCCACCCCCAACCCCTGCAGCTCACACTGCCCCTTCCCGTGGGCCGGCCTGGCCGGAGGACTCTGCCTGGGGGGGCGAGGACAGCGGCCCACAGCTCATGCCCCCGGGGGACCGAGACGGCAGCGCGCGGGCAGGGGCCGGCTGAGGCCTGCGTGCCCTCGGCCAGCCCTGCCCCGCGGGAGGCCCTTGTCTCTGAGGCAGGAGCCCTGGCACTGAACTTGACGAGCAGGGGAGGTAAGGGACAGCTCGACCCCGAGCCACCACACAGCACACTTCAGGCCATCAATGATGTCACCGGCAGGTGAACGTTGACAAAGGGCCCGAGGGCCTCAGGACGGCCTTGCCTCTGGCCGGCAGGCTCTGGTCGGTGAGGTCTGCCGTGGCTTGGCGGGTGCAGGCATGTCACACAGACTCCATCCCAGCGTGGCGCCACTGCGTCCCATGGTCCTCGCTGCGGAAGACACGTCACGTTTTCCAACGTGAGCAAGTCTCCCAGCTGGGAAAGTGCGGGGCCGGGGGACCACCGCCCGCGGAGCACGAACACCGCATAGTGCACGGCCCCTCGCGGCCCGGGCAGCCACTGCCACTCACACCCGGTGCCGCAGCCAGCAGTTCCCCGCCTGCCGTTCGATCCGACGCCGGCCTGTCCTCGGCCGTGCCTCGAGCCCCGCGCTGCCTGACACACATCGTGACGGGGACACGACTGTGGTCCCGTGGTGCAGGTGGGGACCCCGAGTCCCCGAGGGGCCAGGTGACCCGCCCGGCACCCCCCAGCTGGTAACCGGTGCAGCTGGGACTCCGCCCCAGCCCCGGCCTTGCCTGGCCCTTCCCGACAGCCACGCAGCCTCGGTGTTTTGTGTTCTGAGATCCTCTGGGCTCAATCAGGATATCAAAGAAGCAGTATTTGTTTTAGGATCCTTTTTTTTTCAAAACAGAGATAAGTCTTTGTGAATCTTTACACTGTGAACACACAAAGGGCACCAGAAATCACAGGGTTTGCCCAGCACAAAAAAGCCACCGCACGAGAAGTTAATTCAAACGCGCGACGCCACTGCCCTCCCTTGGCACACCTTCCCGCCTCCGGATATCCAGAACCAACAGAGAAATGGGCAGAGCCAGCACCCTGCCCCCTGTCGCTGAGCAGGCACACACGCCCAGAGCTCCACTAGGTGAGCCCAGGGAAGACCCCCTATGCCCCGGGTGCCCTGACCGGTACCCACGTTATGCAAATGATTCCTGAAGTTCACCAGTGTCACCTGCTTTACCCAGATCCTGCCATTAGCAGGAGACGTAAACCAGCGATAGCTCAACCCCAGTCTGTGTGACCCCCGTGCCTTTGACACCAGAACCCCAGGGGACCCCACAGCCGCCTCCAGCCTTGCTGCCGCCCAGCTGTCTTGCAGTTCATCCCAGATTTTTGGGCAAGTCTGGTCAGAAATGTGCCCAGAGGGTGTGTCTTGTAACTTGCAAAATTTGGCAGCTGCACCAGGCTCTGGGTTCCACCTGACCTGCAGCCCGGAACGTGCCAGGGCCACCCCGCCCGCCCAGCAGTGCCCGAAAACTTGCCCGCACACACCACCCCCCCCGCAGCGCCCACCCACACACACTGCCCCCCTCCGGCAACTGCCTGCACACACCGCCCCCCCCACAGCTCCCGAGGACCTGCTCACACAGACTGCCTCCCCGAGGCGCCACCCACCCACCCGCACACACCTGCTCCCCCAGCCTGCCCTCTGCGGACCCTCAACCCCATCTTCATGGAGAAGTGGCTCTTCCGATCTGTCTCTGATGGCCCATTGAACTACCTGGGCTCTGTCCCACCTCTGCACCTGTCTTGCCGCTGAATTAAAATCAAGAACAAGCAGCTGATGCTTGCGGAGAGCTTACTCCCGGGCATGCAGCGTGACCATGTTATCACATTCCACCTCAGGCCACTTTTGCCACAGCTGCACGCATGACCCCACTGCACAGATGGGGAAGCCGAAGCCAGGAAATGTCAGAGCCACTTGCCTGAGGCCCAAATCTAGCAGGGGAGAGGGAAGAGGGGCGGCCTGGGCGGGGCGGGGGGTGGGGGCTGCACTGGACCAGCTGCCCTCCCTCCTGAACTGTTTTTTGGGGATGCCACACGCCCCACTATGACTTCACATTAAGATGACGCTTTCGGAAAGCCATTCTTCCCCTGATCAGAGCTGCAGCCTGACCACCTCCCCGCTGGACGAGCCTGGGATCGGCAGCAGACGGCACCACCATTAGAACGGACATGGAAGGGCAAGCAGGCGCTCTCTCTACCCCTGAGGGCCCCCACGGAGCCCCCGGGTCCCGTCAACACCTGTCGAAGCAGATGCACCAACCCGGCCACCCCACATCAGGGCGAGCACAGGGGTGGCGGGCACAGAGCCGACCTCAGTTGCAGCCAAGTACGTGGGCAGGGAGCTCGCACTGGTGCTCGGGGGGCTCGTGAGGAGATGCTGCCTCATCCTCCTGTCTCTGGGGCCCCACGGACGCACGCGGAGAGCGAGGAACGCCCTCAGAGACCGGCTGGCCGGGCAGGTTCCAAACACACCCCAGCCGCGGAGCCCGGCGGCAGCTGAATCCCCGTCCACAAAAGCCCAAACACATGAGAGCAAGGAGTCCAGCAGAGGGGTCCTGGCTGTCACCTGGCCCAAGCCAAAGGGCCCACCGGTCTCCTGAAGGGCCTTCTAGAACACAGGTCCCAGGGCCCTGACGCAGGCCTGCTGCCCCAGCACCTCGGGAGGCGAAGCCTGAGCATCTGTGCTTCTAAAGGCCCCCGGGTGACACCAGCGCGCTCCCCTGGGGCGTCCGGAAGCCACTGGCCACCGGCTCCGGCGGCAGGACAGTGCGCTGACGCCCTCACGCTGAACCCCAATCTCGGGAGGAGAGAGATGCAGGGTGCGCCGGCTGCTCTGCTCAGCCCCCTTCCCCGTCCCTGAGGTGCTTTCCTGGAAAGCTGGGCTCCAGGCCGCAGGCGGCGCTGCCGAGGGAGGCGTCCAAGGGGTGGCGGCGGGTGCCCTCCCGCAGCTCCCACACGCCACCCGGCGCAGGCCCCCAGCCCGCCCGCCACAGCCGCCCCCTTCCCGGGACGGCCGCAGACGCCCGAAGCAGGGGCGTGCAGGTGTCCGCGGGCCTCGGGCCCCGCTCACCCAAGCCGCGTCCTTCCCGAGCTCGTGCTGGGCCCCCTGGATGTGGGCGGGCGCTCCGGTCCGCACGCGGCCTGTCTGTTCCCACACGCCGCACACGCCCCTAGGGCAGCGGCAGAGGCTTCGGCCCGACGGAAACCTCGGCCACGTGGAGGAGCCAGCCGTCCCGGAGGAGGAGCCAGGCGGCCGTGGCGGCCACGTCCAGGAGCCACGGCTCTCCCACCCCAGGTGGCGGCTGGGGCAGCTGCCCCCGCCCCGCGTCTCACCTCGAACACCTCCTCATCCAGGATCCGGGTGCCGAACACGATGATGCCGTTGACGTCTATTATAGGGTGGTCGCTGCGCTCGAGGGGCTTGCTGGTCTTCTTCTTACAGTCCAGGATCAGGGTGACGTTTTTCTTGTGGATGCTGAGAGCAATCCTGTGCCACCTGCAGACAGACAGACAGACAGGCCAGCGGGTGAGGGGGGCCGACACAGGTGAGCCCGCAGCCAACTACCATGTCCTGCACGGGCGGGCTGGGCCGGGTGGCTCCGAGCCGAGCCTCCGCCCTCAGCCCAGGTTGGGAGCAGCTCCCGGCCACGCAGCGTGGCCCTGGGGATCCACTTGGGCTATGGCAGGAGGCCAGCTGTGTGGACCCGTGAGCTCCCTGGGAAGCCCTGAATGCAGGCTCCGGAACCTTCTGCGGGCTCTCCAGCGGGTCAGGGGCAGGCAGACACAGTGGCACTGCCTTGTGAGAACCCCCGAGGAGCCCCCTCCGCCTGCCCCGCAACTGCAGGCTGCTGGAGAAGACAGCGTTTGCAGGGAAGGGGGGGGACGGGTGGGTTTGTATGAAGTTCTCAGTGAGAGACACAGGAACCACACCCTGAGGGGCCTCAAAGGTCACGCGCTCGGCCTCAGACGTGTTAGCCACAGATGAGCTGATCTTTAAACCATCTGGGTATAGGTGTGCCCCCAACAGAGAATTCTGGAAAGATCTGTCTTTTTTTTTTTTTTTAAATCACGTGCTCCCACGTCTAACATGTCTGTTTCCCTAAGGGTACCCTCCGTACTTTCTGGAAGGAGTCGGGTGTGACCAACAATCTTTCATGTCTCTTCTGAGACTAGGAGCCTGGCATTTGAGATACTTTAGCGCATCTTCCAAAGGGAAGTGGAGGCCAGGGGAGAAGAAAGGGTCCCCCAAAGGCACACAGGACGACCCGCAACCAGGCCCCAGGCCTCCACACTCGAGCCGGTCCGCTCTCTGCCTGGCGCCCGCCTGTGAGCATGTTGGCACTAGCCTGCTTTCTGTAAGGCACGTCCTGCTGTGAGGCCCCGTACCAGCCAGCAGGCTTTAGGCGCCCTGCCCTGCCCCTCCAGCGGGGGCAGGACCACGCTGCCGGGCAGTGCCCACTTACTTGCCATCCGACAGGTTGATGCCCCTGAAGAGGGGATAGTCCTCCGGCCCCGGTTTCCCTGTGTGGTCCTCATAGAGGAAGACAGGAGAGCGGCCCATTTCCAGGCCGATCTGCTGGATGCCCTGCTCATTGTAGATGGAGACCAGGAAGGCCTGGCTGCCCTTCTTGGCTTTCACAGTGGTTAGAATGGAGAAATCCTCGGGAAATGAAGACGCTGTAACAGAAGACAGGGAAAGAAGGCCGTCAGGAAGCCCTCAGCTGCACGCGGCCGTGGCTCTACAAACAAACCAGCTCAGGGGCCTGGCACATCTGCTGCACAGCTGCCCCTTGATCAAACTGTTCCTGCAGCCTTTCCCTATCACATGACCAAGCCTATCCTCTTTGAAGCTCAGTTCAAATGCAAATTTGATTGCTCCGTCCAGCTGTGAGCCTTCAGTGTCATCTCCTAAGTTCCTCAATACATCTGTGTATAAATCCTAACTGGAACCTCCTAGAACGTCAGCTTCCTCGGAGCAGGGGCTGTTCCAGACACATCTTTGTACCCTCCATAGTGCCTAAAGCTGGAGAGTGTGTCTCCTTTGGTGCCTTCAGGAGGAAAGGAGGGGGAGAGAGAGAAGGGGGAAGGAAGACAAGAGGCAGGGACCATACTTTCTGTCATTTCCTGGTTGACACGCAGAACAGAAGAAAGGAAGAAAGAAATCAAAGGACTTCAACCTAAATTTTAAAAAAGAAAGAAAACCCCTGTATGTTAATGGCAAGAAATGCTCTTTACAACAGGATGGAAATGGCACGAGGTGGGTGACGGCCAGGCCCACGCAGGTCACTGAGTGTGTGCAGGCGGCTCTCGCACACGCCCTTCTCCAGCCGTCGGTGGCACAGGCAGCAATTGTGCGGAGGGCCCGGGGCGTGGGGGGAGCATGGCGGGTCCTGACCCGGGGGAGCCTCGCAGCCACGCTCCGCAGAACGGGCCGGAAGGAGCGGCGCCCTGGGAGGTGTGGGCTGACCGGGGGCGAGAGGCGCCGCGCGGGGCTGTGGACGGGGACGTGGAGGGAGGGACTCTGCTATGAGACCCGCGGTTCCCTGGGGACCCTGGGACGGCAGCGAGGTCCGAGGTCAGGCCAGCGGGGCGGAGAGCTGGGCTCAGGGCCCCTTCCAGCCCAGAAGCTATCCGTGAGCGCCCTCTGCTGATGGAGGAGCCACACAGCCGGGCGGCCACCTCTGCTTCTGCTCCCCGGAGCAGGGTGCCATGCTGGGGACGAGGCGACCTCCAGGGCACCAGGCCAAGGGCATGTGAAGACTCCGGGGGGGTGGGGCGGGGAGGAAAACCACCTTTGCAGGAGACAGGGTGCGGAGATCCTGCCGGGGCGAGCCAGCGGCAAGAAGCTGTGGCTGCCTGGACCAGCGACACCGGCCGGCCCCCCAAGGCGGCTCAGGGAGATGGGTGAGGTCGCGAGGCGGAGACGCAAACCCCCAGCTAAGAGGTGCCGACACAGAGATGCCGGAGGCTCCCAGCCCCGGGGTGGGGCGCGTGTGCCAATGAGCCGAGCGCCAAGGTGCGTCTGCCGGCTCAGCCTGGCCCTCCCTCGCCCAGGGCACCGCTCAGGCCCCGCTCCCCAGCGCCGGGCAGCCGCGGAGGGGGGGCACCTGTCTGAGTACAGGCCGGCTTCCCTGAGGGCCCGCCTCAGGCTGTGCTTCCACCCGGACAGGAAGCCTTTGGGAAGAGGGGTGCTGAGGCTGCCACCGTCACCCGGCCGTTGTCCCCACGCTCGTTGTCCCCACGCTGTCCGTCCAGATGTGAGACCTGAGGGGACTCAGCGGCCGGACCGCCACGGAGGAGGGGCATCTTCTGCACCAGCCCCAGGGGAAGGCCCCCTGCAGAGCCAGTGGCGGGACCCTGGGGCCCCACTGGGTCCCGGGGGCTGAACAGGCACCAAGGGACCCGGGTGGTGGCTGACCCGAGGCACCTGGGAGGCCACTGCCCATGTCCAGGGCAGCTGCCCGATTGTGGTGCCTCCTTTTCATCTCGAGGGGCACCTGCCCTGTCCTGACCCAAGAGGACCCGGGCCACACGGCCGTCGTCCCATCCCAGGTACAGAGAACGGGGAGCCAGAGCGCTCCCCTTCCCCACGTGGCACACGGTCTCTCCAGCATGTGGCATGACACGAGCTGGGCACTGGCGAGCCCACGACCCGCGCTGCCCAGGCCGTCGGGGGACGGTGTCCGTGCCCCACTCTTCCTGCTCTGTTTCTCAGTCATAGGTGACAGGTGGCTTCAGCCGGGAGCCCGTGAGAAGCCCAGGGGCAGCCGGGGCAGCCTGATGGGATGCACTGGTCTCCTGCATTCACGGAGGACCGTGACGGTGTCTTCCACGGTGTCCCCGCTGTGAGCAGAGGACTGGGGGCCCGGGGGCCCCAGCGCGCCGCAGTACTGGGCTCTGTCTTACACCGTACAGGCTGCTCCCTGCGCAGGAGGTCCCCACTTGCCATCCCGGGGCCCGCTGACCTCAGGATCCAGACCCCCAGGTCCAAGCGACACAAGAAGACCTCTCACTATCAGGGAGGGGCCTCCATCGGGTGAGCAGGTGCAGACAGCAACCGACTGCCCCGCTGCACCTCTGCAGGGCCCCCCACGGCACCTGGCTCCCCAGAGAAGCCTGCACTGCAGAAGGTTCGTACGAAGCTGCAGAACAAAGGAGTGGGCAAGGCGGGCACCGCGGGCTAACCTGTATCCGGCCTGTGCTGGGGGGAGAATCCCCACAAGGAGCCCCAAAGACCCACTGAGCCTCAGCCACAAGCTTGTGAGGGGCCGCTGCCCCCAGAGGACACAGGCCGCCTACCCTGCACAAGTCTGGGGGTCTTCTCCTCGTGGAAATAAGTCGCCTGGACGTTGACCTCCCTTTGCTCTAAGACACATTCAAAACCGGGCACGTGGCCCCCGGCCCGCACGGCCCGCCCGGTAGACACGGGCTTCTCACCGACGCTGCCCCCACCCCCGACCCGGGAGACGGGCATCACAGCGGAAAGGTCATCAGCGTCCGGCTCGCTCAGAGTTTCCGCGAGAGAAGGGACGGAAGCCGTGTGTTTCCTCACATCCGAGGCCATGGTCACACGACACCGACCTGGGAAAATGTCCTTGGGCAGCTGTGGCTGAGTGGGGTCTGCAGCCGCAGTGACTCCACACTTGGGGGTCTGGAGAAAGGACCCCACAGAAACTCCCGCTCAAATCGGCCCAAGGCCGTCTCTAGCTCTGTTCGGCTCTGCCAGCTAATTGCCACCAGAGGACCCTGTCAGCGCGTTTAAACTCTAAGTGTGTAATCAAGTTACTAATTGGAGAGCTTAGGGAAAACAAGGGCTTAAAAAATATGCCGTCTCACCATTGACTTTGTACTAAATCTCCAATAATTAGTCTCTGTTCTGAGAGCCGTGCAGTTTCTTTGACACAACGTAAGGAGGGTAGGAAGATAGACGGAAAGCAGCCCGAGAGTCTGCCATGCGGGGTCCCTGAGCCAGGTGCTGGGGGTCAGGTGGGCTGCGGGCTAACCCCCAGCCAGGACTCTTCGCTTCCCCAGGGTGGCCTCACACGGGGACAGTGTCGCACACGGTCCTTGCAGCTGCCAGATCCTGGGGAAGCCCCCCACATGGAGCCTTTCTCTGGTCCCAGCCCCCAGGGCACATGGGCCAGGACATAGGCAGCTCCTGGGTGGAGACGAGAGCGAGGGTGATTCTAGGACAGGCTCACCCCAAAGGGGCGGAAGTGCTCCCGGAAGGCTGGGGACGGAGGTGGGCTCCCGGGGTTCCGCAGGGGACCCGGTGCCCCTGGCTGACCTCACCGACCCAAAGTGACCTTGTACAGGGCTGGCCCAGCCTCTCTCGGGGACAGCCTCCGAACGGCCCATGGATTGAAAGCACCTGAGTCAAAGGGGGGGCGGGAGCTGACAGCAGGCCCTGGAAGAATGTGTCCCCCGGACCCAGTGGGGTTGTGGGAGCACAGACTCAGCCATTTGTCAGAAGGCTGCCCAAGGTCGGGGTCACAGCCAGGTTTCCAAAAAATTGATGTGCGGTCTCCTAATAAGTACAGAGCGTCCCCGGAGGTGAGCACACCTGCCGGGCGCCCCTGCCCCTGTGGGATCTGAGGCACAAAGAACTCGTTTAAGGCAGGGGGAGAGCTTATCAGTCGCCAGCTGTCTGCCCCTGGCAGATAAGCTCAGGGGTTACTCACTCTGGGGCCTGGGGCGGGGGTGTCACACAGCATCCCCAGCCAGGCGACGGGGGACAACATGGATGCCACATCTCAGCAGCCAACGTCACTCCCCATGCCAGGCACGTCATTAAAAGCAGAGACCTGGCGCTTGGCAATTGCTTCTCATTAAAAGCCTGCGCCCTCTGGCCGGGAGCCGCGGTGCCGGGCTCGTGTGTCTCTCAATGTCACTGCCCCCAATTAAGCTGCTGTGCAAGTGCTTCCTTTCCCATGACCCTGGGCCTCTCTTAACCTCCTCACCGGAGCAGCACCGTCACCGTGGAGCATGTGGGGTCCTGGCAGCCTGTCTACAGCTGGGGATACACCTGCTTGGAGAGTGAGGGGGCAGATGAGGCCTCACACACCCCCTCCCGGCTTCGGAGGTGGAGGCTGACAGCGGCTAGGTGTTTTCACTATAATGAGACCCAACTGGCCTTCTGGGAAGAGCTTCCTGGAGAATCAAGTGTTTCTCCCACCAAACGGGGTTCCAGCCCTGCGCCCTGGCCAGAGCGGGGAGGGGGAGCCACTGCCTCCACCAGAACACACCTGCCCACCCACCACCCTCCACGCTCCACCCAGGACATGAGCCCAGGTGCCCTCCCAGCGAGGACACGCCCCCAGGTGCCCTCCCAGCTGGGACACGCACGCACATCTCTTACCAGGATACAGCTGCTTGGTGGGTGCACTGAGCTGGGCGTCTTTCGTGACTCTGTAAGCGACATCTGGGCCTTTGGAAGATCTCCGCGTGGCACAGAAACCTGTTGTCTTTGTTATTCCATCAGGCAAGTTGTGAAAATCTAGAACCTTAAGGAGATCTGCTGGCTGAGCTGAAATGGCAAAGGAAGGGAGGTGTGGGGTTAGACAGGTGGGGAGGGAGCAGCACGGGGCACGCCCACCTTCCCAGGGGCGCGAAGGGGTTGGAGAATTGGGGAGGGGGGGGCAGCTGCTTTGGGAACTGCATGCGTCCGGCCCTCAGCCTCGCTCCCGCCCCGCGCCCTCGTCCCCTGGCAGGCGCTGCCCCACGCCAGCTGTCAGCCCCGCGGTGGGACCGCCCCACACGCAAGCTGGGAGGCAGGTGGGCCCCGCTGCTGCAGGGGGCCTTACGGGACAGACAGTGACAGCGTGTGGACTCTGCTGTCCGGCTCCGGCGCCTGCACGTCCCGCGTGACCAGGGCGAGAACGAGGGTGCGCCGCGGGCACGTGTCACCCCCCGCCTTCACCCGAGTAACCTGTGGTTCTCCCATAACTGTTTACAGCAAAGATGGCATTCCATCTGTCCCAGTAGACCCACGTCGGCAGGACAGAGCAGAACCAAGGACAAGGGAGAACAGGTCCCCGCCTCCCTTCCAGAAAGTTCCTGACCCTTCCGGGAGCTCCTCCGAGAAGGGCAGCAGTGCCCGAGGGCCACCCGACCCGAGCATGGCCTCCCTGTGCCCTGGCTCCCTCCTTCGCACGGGGAAGGGTGGGACCTCCCGGCTGTGAGGACCACAGGCCCGTCCACACACCTGCCCCAGACAAAGGCGGCTCCCTGTGCAAAGCTCAGCTCACGTTACTACAAACAAGATGCCCTGGGAGTCCCGGTGGAGAAAATAAGCTCCAGCGTAGAGTCAGAAGGAAAACCTTCAATCCGCTTACTGCATACAGCCCACGGACAAGACCCTGGGGACAGCAGAGTGACCGCCCTCTGGGGACTCAGCTGCCTGGATGGTGACACAAAAGGAGATCTTAGCTCAACCCCACCCCCACCTCCAGGATCCTGGGGGTGTCCTTGATCGTGTAAAAATCCCTCTGGAAACCTCCTTTGTCTCCACCCCCCAAGATACAAGGTAGCGATCGCACTCCGCGCATGTGGCCTGTGAAACACACCTGAAGGGCCCCTGACTGAGGGTTTGCTGAACAGTAACTAACATGTGACCTTTTCCCAACAATAGTGACGCCCTCGGGGCCCTGGAAACCTTGCTCCCAAATTCCCCCGGAGGCTGGTGCTGTCCCTCCCCCCTCCCAGCTGGACGGCGTATAATCAGTCACTTCTCACGACCCTGGGGCCGCTCTCTCTGCCCACGGGTCCTGTCCCCGTGCTTTAATAAAACAGCCGTTTTGCAGCCAACATATCCCAAGAATACTTTCTTGGCCATCAACTCTGAACCCCATTTTCCACATCACAGCTGGCAATGCCCTGGGGTTAGGGGAGACCAGCACCAGCACCTGCCTGTGGGGGTGGGGATGGGCGTGGGAGGCCCCGCCCCTGCCTCCAGGCCAATCAGGGCACAGCACAAGCCCGTCCCAGATGCCTGGTGCCATAGTGGACCAGAGGCTGCCCCAGGCCAACAAACTCCATCCTGGGCCTCTTCCTTTGGGAAGGGGGGAATCCTCTCCTCCCGGCCGGCCCCACATGGCGGGGCCCATGAATCAGGGGCTGCAGGCAGCCCTCTCCCAGGATGGAGGGGAGGGCCGGCAAACGCAGAGACAGACTCCTGCCATGCTGCTTTTGCTCCTGGATCAAGCTGTGCCTGAAGAAGGTCCATCTACATGAGCCAATACATCTGTCCGTATGTTCCCAACAACTTGGATTAGACCCTGACACCTGCTGCTGACATCTCAGTCCCCACTGCCCGGGGCAACAGCGGGGCTCAGGCAGGCTGGCCCTGGATCGTGGGCCCTCCGTAACTACTCAGTTCACCGGCTCACCAGCCTTCCTCCACAGAGGGCTTCCCACATGCCCGAGGCTCCCTCAAGAGGAATGTCCTGCTCTCCTAACAAGGGTGGAGGATTTGGAGGTGAGGGAGGCCCCCCAGCATCGGTTCCCGCTTCCCCAGGCCCAGGAATCCCGCAGCCGGCTGCCTCGCTGGGAGCTCAGCATAACCCTCCGGGCGCGTGGCTGCTTGTCCCCCGAGGCCCTGCCAGAGGCCCTGTGCCCGAGAGGGAGGGCCTGGAGGGGGCGTGCCCAGGGCAGTGACAGGTGCAGAGGGCGTCCCGTGGGCCCCCTCCCCTCATGGTGACGGCTTGGGATGGCGGGGGCAGCACCGGGGCCAGGATCCCAGGACCCCAGGGCCTCTAGGAAAAGCAGCTACTTTCCTCCAGCACGAAGCGTGCCCCCACCCACTCTTCCCTTCGAGGCACCATGTCACCCAGATTCCAGACTTCCGCCCCCAGCGGCCATTTGCCCAACTCAGATTTGCCTCAGACCTCTGTCACTGTCACCGAGGAAACGTGGGGAGGGGTGGAGGAAGGGACAGCACGGGGACCCCGGACACTCTCGGTCCAGACTGACCTCTGCTTGTGGACAGAACCAATGCCTCTTGAGGACCCTGTGACTTTCCCGGGTGGCTCTTGGCTCCTGCCAGGACCCAGCCCCCACGCAGGGCGGTCACCCCCTCGCATGGTGGCGGCGGCCCCTCCGAAGCCCCATCCTAGGGGCTCCCCCATAGCCCTCGCTGGACACCCGTCCACTTGACATCGGGCGCAGGTGCCGGCAGAGCCCAGACTGGGCTCAGGCCGCGGGCAGAGACGCCGGGGCCGGCCGTGCACCTGCCACGGTGAGCAGTACGCAGTCCCAGCCAGCGCGGGCGGTGGCCGGGGGAGGGACGAGGTCCCGGCTGGGCTTTCAGGGCCCCCTCCCAACAGCTAGCGATGCTCTTCCCAGATGGGCGGCCTGCAAACCTGTTTTCTCGATTCCTGCTGGGAGGGAGCTGGCTTCCAGAAGCCTCCGGGACATGTTTATAGACCTCTGCTAAACAAGTTGAAAAGGCCACCAGACCATCCAGGCCCCACGCCACCCCTCCCACCGGCCAGGGCCTCCCTGTGCCAGAGCTAAAAAAAAATTCTTTTAAGTCTTCTAACAGGTGTGGGAAGGCCTGGGAGACCTCGGGCAGGACAGGACTCTCGTGGACTCTCCTTCCCGTCGACACAGGAGCCTCCCCTCCGAGAGGCACTTTCTCAAGAAACCAAGGTCCTTGGCACCTCTATGAGGGTGAGGATGCTGCCAGGAAACAGCGCCCACTCCGGGGATGGGTGCCCGTGGGTTTGAGCCCCCAGAGCCCCCCAGGGAGAAGGTCCAGAGGCCACCACCTCGCTGAGGCCGGGGAGAGGACTTCTGCCAGTGAAGGCTGCCCCCCGCACGTTCCCTGGATGATCAGCGAGCCCTTCCCACCCCTCCCTCCTCAACGGTCCGGCGGGCCTCACCCCTGCGCATCTCGGCACTTGGTGGAGACACAGAGGGAACTGGCTGTTCTGCATACCCGCCCAGGCCACGGTGGTGAGACCACACCACCCTCGGGCCACCGTGCGCTGGGAGCAGCGGGCGCCAACGGCCCACTCAGGTTCTGCGGAGCCCAGGGCGCTGAAAACCGCATGTGGCGGACTCCTGGGCAGTAAGGCGCAGCGGGCAAACAAGGGCCTAGCACCCGGGGGATGAGCCGGAGGCCCCATGTGCCCAAAAGGCAGCACTCAGCCCCTGGAAAGAAACGCAAGACCGAGTGACCTATCGATGAGCCGGTGCGGAAACCAATGGCCCAGGTCAGAACATGGAGGCGCCAAGGACACGTCCCACAATTGGCCGGCCAACTAGTCAGCTGGTACAGCCACCAACCACACAGGGACGACCTCTGCACTTTCCACGGTTGCTCGGAAAGCCAACTGCCCAGCACCCCTGGGGACCCAGAACCAGATACTCCACGCCACCGGGGGCTCCTCCCCCGCCCCACTGCACACCGCAGGGCACGAGACGCCAAGCTGGCCAGCCTCGGGGAGGGCACACGACCACCAGGGAGCACTTGCCAGTGCCGCCCATCCACCCGCCAGATCTCCAGGCCCCGGTCCCTTCCCAGGTAACAGGCTTCTGCCAGACCGCGGGCACTGGGCGGGACACACGGGGGCATCACAAGAGCTTTACCTCATCGAACGGTGACATCAGCGCTGTCCCCCCACAGTGACGGCCCCTGGGCTCAGGGATCTCTGAGGATGTGTGCCGATCCGGGCTGCTCTGTCTGCGTCCTGTGCTTACCTGCACAGCCCCTGTCTGCCCACGTGTCGTCACTGGTGGCCCTCCTGTGGCACACGCACGGGGCACTGAAGACCCCAGCCTCCAGACAGTGCTGCTGAACCCTCACCCCCTGGCGGGGCCCACATGGCCCTTCCTGTAGGGACTCCATCCACGTGCCGGGACCTCCCCCCCGCCCACCCGGCCCCAGAAGGCCATGGCTCACCCCCGAAGGCCACAGCCCAGCATTTCTGGCACCAAGCCCTCTCGACAGACACCAGGGCCAAATCCCGCCAGGTGTCTGCGGGCTGCGAGGAGAACTCAACGGGATGAGCCAGTGATGGGCGCTGTGCATGCTTCAGAGTCAACATCGTCATCGCCAGAAAAAGACCTAAGAGCTCTCTAAATAACCACCAACATTTACATCTTCAAAATGCTCAGAACTGCCTCAAGTTTCGAACTAGAAGGAATCACAAATAACCTGGGGGCCGGCGCCCTGGATTCTGACGACGAGGACATGTGGGGGGGGGTGACCATCCCAAGTGGCCCCGGCAGTCTGGTACCCAGCCATCCGCAGCTTCTGATCCTGGCCAGGCCCAAACCTGCTTCCACTCGGCACAGGCAGGGGACATGCAGAGCTCACGGCGTGGCCCCTAAATCATGGCGCACCCGCCCCCTGCGTGCGGTACCCTCGCTGCTCTCAGAGATGCGCCCTTCTGCAAGTGTAGGTACCCAGCCCGTGTCGCGTCTGTCTGCTTTCCTGGGCTGCAAATCCCAGGAGGAGCCCCGTACCCCTGGTGCCCAGCAGACACGGCCACCCAGGGCTGCACCTGCCCAGTGTCCACAGAG